ATGTAACTCAATTATCGGAAGAAACTGGCTGTAGCATTGAATCTCAAACTTGAACAAGTTTTGGTGCTGAATGTAGATGAATATATACTAATCATAACTAGATGAGATAAAACACCTCGAGTCATAATCAAGAATATGATGCTATAAATAGTAGCAAGATTAAAATCTCCAGCTTAATATAGATTTTATTAGACAGAATTGATTCAACAGCTGCTACTTTCATTTTTACACACAACATTAGTGTCGTGGGCGTCTGTAGATATTGGGCTCTCTCCAATTACCGTGTTCAGGTGGGCGTCGGGCGTCTGTACATTCGGGGCATACTTCAAAATTTGAATTGTTTTTGTTACTTTAATACAACTTCGATTCCAGATTGAAAGAATCATGACCTATTCAAACCAAATAACTTCGATGACAAGAAATATATGGAAAATGAAAAAGGTTAAGCTAATGTCACCGTCCTGGCAAAAGTTTCCTGGTTGCACACTGCATGGCGTTGCCCATCTTTATTAGACCAATGGGGTGCAGAAAAGTAAGACGCAAAACACCATTCATTTCTTTTATTTCAGAAAGGTTTCATAATTAGCCTTCGTGATTTCATCCAACTGATACAAACTGTTACCTTGAAGCCAATTAGTAATCGTCTATAACGAACCTTTCCTCTTGTCAATATTCTTCTTGTAATCTGAAAATAACTGAACAATAAATCAATCAGATCGATCTCCTCCCACGCCATCAATATCATCGATTAAACCTCATCCTTCATATCTTAAATTAGTTCCTATTGTAACTCTTTCAATACAACATCTTCCCTTTTTGATAGCTCCCTATTCAATTGCGCATGTCGTCACCGGAAACACAAATATTGATGACGTATTTCACAAAGTACACATCTTTTGATGTGAGTATTTAAATAATCCAAGACTGGAAGCGTGTGGCTATTTTAAGATATGGAATTGTCATCATCCGGAAACCAATGTTATGCTTTCTGCTAAAAATAACTTATTTTGTTGAGCACTGGAATGACCAGGAGCGGTGAGGTTTGTTTCAAAGTCACAAATAGCAACGTAGCTTCGTTTTTGAATCTTGTTCTTCAATTGATATTCTTTTGATGGTTCATGCACCAATATTCTTCACCCAGTGGGGCATCTAACGTTTCCCTGTAGTTGACTTTACAACATTTCCACGTATTTTTGCACGGTGTTGTCTGGTTGATACAAACTTACAAAGCAAGGAGCACCATCTGATGAGAATGATACCACATGTCGACATGCCTCTTCCAGATCATCAAAATGCAGACGAGATGTCAGAATTACTAAGCTGGCAGCTGCATTATTCCGCTTCCAAAGTTCGATATATCTCATCGACGTCTGTATCATCAAAATAAATTGATATACGAAATACAATCAAAGTTAGTTTAAAACGCCCTGTCTGTACCGTCTGATAATAGATTGGCGATGTACCCAGTCGCCCCGAAATCTCTTAATAGGAAAGTTAAATATCCTATTAAATAACGAACTAATTACAGACTGGTCGATGATCGATATCGATTTCCTCTTTCACTGATTGACTTTTTTCATTTGATCAATTTTGGTGAGATTCCTAATATAGTGTATTGCGTTGTTTACATTTCAACTCAACAATCAGCTTCAATTGAATGTTTAGCCAAGGGTAAACCTGAGAAGCCAGTCTGATTCGACCAGCTTAACCTAGGTCAAATCCCGATTTAAATATATACCGTTTTCTGATTGGCAATTTGGAATTATAATTTGGTGATTGTCCAATAAGATGGTTCCAGAAATTCAAACGAGATCCAATCACCAACAAACAGCCTTGTCTCCAGCGAGCTCTGAGCGTGTAGCAGACCTTCAATATACACGAGGATATTCGGGTGCACTAAAGGTAACTAAATATAAGTGAAGACCACCCTATATCAAATTTGCATAACATTTCAGACATCAAGTTCTATGTTTCTTATTTATATATAAGATTCCTGAAATACGTTGTAATAGCTAGATGCAAATATCAGGAAAAGTCTAAATGTTTGGGTGTGTACCGATTACAAACTGCAATCGAGAAGAGACGAATTAAAGGGATTGAGGTTTTCTAAAAACAATTATGTGTATCGGAGACACTGATAGCATCGATTTACACCATTCTAATTTTCAATCAGACGTCTGTGGTTCCTGTGGTTCCTGTGGTTCCTGTGGTTCCTGCTATTTCACTAAACTGAAGGATTTTATGACGTCACCATTCCCAAAGCTGCTAATGATGTATAAGAACCTTTGCGTTAGTGACGTCATCAAACACTTAGTTTTAGTGGTATTGCACGAACTACAGACCTGGTTAAAAATTAGAATGGTGTAAATTGATGCCATCAGTGTCCCCGATACGCATAAAAGATTTAGAAAACCGCTTTACAATCTCTTTAAGTTGTAGCAGTTGTCTATTTGCAGTGATTAATGAATCAAAACGACTGAAAGAAAATGTAAAAACAGGCGGTGTTTCCCCTCCATGGTATATTTAATATTGATATTATGTTTGTATGTATAAGGTTCTCTCGAGAGTCTCGTAAACACCGCCTGATAACAAATACTCGCTATTTAATTCACTGTCTGTCTTTCAACAAATTGACGCAAATTGATCTCTCCCCTCCCAATTTCCAGTTTTCCACAACAGTGGACCATCCTCTGGAACATAAGTTGTAAAGTTTCCATCCGTATAAACAGATATTCTTATTAGTAATAACATGCCTGTATGTTATCTAAAGTCTAGGGGTGGAAAGTTTTCCAGGGGGCTCAACTATTTAACAAGTCAATACATACATCGAAACACTACCGGTCATCTCAGATGTAGAAAAAAAAGGTTTTAAGGAACAAATATACGGAAAGTTAGATCTATCGTCTATGGTCCGGTGTAATTAGCGTTAGGTGTAACACTCCACTTTATACAAGTAATAAATATAGGTTGTATTTTATTTTAAACCGAGAATATTTATTATAAAAACACCCAAGTTGAAGGAGAATTCAGATAGACATTAACATATGTTTCACAATTTTACTCTCGAAATAAAACCTCGAGTATTTTTCAATCTATTAAAAAAAAATGATGTTTTGTAAGAAAATAGTAATGTTGTAACATTTTTAACTAATCGACGACAGAAAAAATACTGACGAATATTTATTCTGTGGTTAAGTTTACAGGGGATTTTAACTTTTTCTTTTCTTTTACCCCTTTCAACATCCTCATCCGCGGTGGCTCAGTGAGTTAGACGCTTTCTCGCTAACCTGAGGGCCCAGGGTTCAATCCCGGCATAGGTCGAGATAATACCTTCGGATTTTTCAACCCGGTTTCCCCCTGTCAGTGATGGAAAAGGCGTCTAGTCGTTCGGATGGGATAATAAACCGAGGCCCCGTGTGTTACAGGCTGTGCACGTTAAAAATCCCTCGACAGTTGGAAATCGAAAAAAGGCAGGCTAATGCCACTGTCCTGGAAAAATTTCCCTCATCGCACCCTACATGGCATTGCCTGTCTTCATTAGCCCAGAAGGTGCAGAAAAGTAGGACATAAAACTTTCATTTCATTTCCTATAAATACTTACTATTTTATTATTTAAGGGTTACTATTTTATTATTTAAGGGTTACTATTTTATTATATAAGGGTTACTATTTTATTATTTAAGGGTTACTATTTTATTATTTAAGGGTTACTATTTTATTATATAAGGGTTACTATTTTATTATATAAGGGTTACTATTTTATTATTTAAGGGTTACTATTTTATTATTTAAGGGTTACTATTTTATTATTTAAGGGTTACTATTTTATTATATAAGGGTTACTATTTTATTATTTAAGGGTTACTATTTTATTATTTAAGGGTTACTATTTTATTATATAAGGGTTTCCAGGCAATCTTTTATACATCAGAAAATACAGCTGAATAGAATGACTTACATTATAATTGTCCACAAATTTTAAAATTTGATTTCAGGGAAGGAGGGTTTAATTCTTCCAAACTTAGGGTGGAACAATATTACATTGATAAATTGGAATGAGCTGTCTGGAACTCCTGGGTATTTTTCTTTTTTGGGCTATTAAAATGAATGATGTTTTGGCCAACAGTCCGAATCCACACCCATTCGTTCTAGACTATCTACCATCATACCCCTACGTTAAATACGTCGTAATATTTGGTAAACAAACAGTTTAAAATGTATTTTTAGTTGGGGTCATATTTTGAACCTAAAGTAAAATGTCTATACTTAAAACACTTTGTTATAAAATAACGACGAAATCAAACGAGTCCCGAATACAGTCGTTTCCATGATCTTTAACAAGTTAAACATATCAAGCCATGGTCGTTAACTAACTCGTCTTAGAAGTCTTAAAAACCGGACGTAGTTGAAAGCTTAGAGTAGGAACTGTTACAGAATGTCTCAAACTTGACTCGTTTGTGGCCACACTTCTTAGGAATTCGACCTAACTTCAAAAACTCCAATTTATCAAATTTCTAACTTTTTAAAAACTTCCACCGATATCGAGAGCGAAACAGCGGGCATGTGATAACGATATAAGTTTTAATAATTTGTTAATGTGTTAGAGACCACCACCAGAGATCGTCAAGTATTTCCGATAGCCCAGACAATTGGTTTGACGTGCAGGTCTGTTCCAAACATGGTCCCGGCTTGTAGGTGGGGTGATGTGTCTGGGTGTCGAGGGGGTGTTGTGTCTGTGTCTAAGGGTGTTGTGTCTGGGTGTCTAGGGTGTTGCGTCTGGGTGTCGTGGGGTGTTATGTCTGGGTGTCAAGGGGGTGTTGTGTCTGGGTGTTTAGGGGTGTTGTGTCTGGGTGTTTAGGGGTGTTGTGTCTGGGTGTCTAGGGTGTTGTGTCAGGGGGGTGTTGTGTCTGGGTGTCTAAGGGTGTTGTGTCTGGGTGTCGAGGGGTGTTTTGTCTGGGTGTCAAGGGGGTGTTGTGTCTGGGTGTTTAGGGGTGTTGTGTCTAGGTGTCTAGGGGTGTTATGTCTGGTTGACTAGGGGGTGTCGTGTCTGGGTGGCTAGGGGTGTCGTGTCTGGGTGTTTCGGGGTGTTTTGTCTGGGTGTCTAGGGGTATTGTGTCTGAGTGTCAAGGGAGTGTTGTGTCTGGGTGTCTAAGGGTGTTATGTCTGGTTGACTAGGGGGTGTCGTGTCTGGGTGGCTAGGGGTGTCGTGTCTGGGTGTTTCGGGGTGTTTTGTCTGGGTGTCTAGGGGTATTGTGTCTGAGTGTCAAGGGAGTGTTGTGTCTGGGTGTTTAAGGGTGTTATGTCTGGGTGTTTCGGGGTGTTATGTCTGGGTGTCGAGGGGTGTTGTGTCTAAGTGTCAAGGGGGTGTTGTGTCTGGGTGTCTAGGGGGTGTTTAGAGGTATTGTGTCTGGGTGTTATGTCTGGGTGTTTAGGGGTATTATGTCTGGGTGTTGTGTCTGGGTGTCTAGGGTATTATGTCTGCGTGTCAATGGGGCGTCTGGATTGGCTCTTCGTACATTTGTCCTTAATGAAATTGTAAATAAGTTTTTATAATTTTTTTTATGTTTATCCGGGACATTGATAGAATCGACCTGCACCATTTCAATTTTCAGTCAGACGTCTGTGGTTCTTACAGTTCCAATAAAACTTGAGTTTCACTAAAGGACCGATTTTGCGATAGTGCCATCATAAAATGCCCAGTTGAAGTGGAATTGCAGGAACTACAGACGTTTGATTGAAAATAGGAATGGTGCAGATTCTATCAGAGTACCCGATACACGTAAAAGTTATGAGTGTGCCCCCACTTCTTGGTATTTTGTAATATCTTCATTAAAGTCTAAAAACAGAGTTAAAACTGGATGATGAAGTAAACAAATTGTTCTTTTGTGAAATTTAATAAGGAAATTAAAGTTTTTAAAACAAGAATAACTTCCTCTATTGAGATAAGGGCAAAAACAACGTTAATCCGTGTACAAAGAAAGACCTTGGTATTTAATAATTCTATAATAACTTTTTGACGCATGAGCAGATACTCCCACTTCAAGTAGGCTTACCTGAGTGAGCGCATCTTCACAATATCAATATACATTGACTGTTATAGCCGCCTTTCTTATATCATGGAAGTTAGTAAATGCATTGATTTGACTTCATAATCTGCCATTCCCAGCTCTATACACTCGATTTATATTACCTCCCTCACCCACTCTTCCTTAGTCTAGCCCCACCCTCATGTCGATCTATATACCGAACGACCCTCACCCCACGGCCTTTACGACGTGCCATTCCCTGTTCTATACACTCGGTTCAAATTACCTCAGTCAGGACTGTTGGACTAGAAGGAATGTCGATATGCTGGTAACATTTTACTCGAATTAATCAAAACAATATTTTCATTCTCCTCTTTCATAAAGCCCGGATAACACTACAGTATAATAGCTCCTCTTTCATAAAGCCCGTATAACACTAGTGTAATATCTCCTCTTTCATAAAGCCCGCATAACACTAGTATAATATCTCCTCTTTCATAAAGCCCGTATAACACTAGTGTAATATCTCCTCTTTCATAAAGCCCGGATAACACTACAGTATAATAGCTCCTCTTTCATAAAGCCCGTATAACACTAGTGTAATATCTCCTCTTTCATAAAGCCCGCATAACACTAGTGTAATATCTCCTCTTTCATAAAGCCCGCATAACACTAGTGTAAAATATCTCCTCTTTCATAAAGCCTGGTTCACACCACAGTATCCACACCGTCTACTATTTATGTTCACATAGTCAACGTTGTTATATTCCATGGGGTGGTGCACTGTTATACTATTGACTGTTTTTTGAAGTCAAATTTCAAAATACAAATCTGCCATTTCATCATATACCGTTAGATAATTAGTAGATTTAGATTGGACCGCAACAAATATTTCTACATAATTAATTATCAAGATAACCCGAACCGACCTGTTTCCATGTTCTTGTTTTGAAAACACTGTAGGGCATCACCTCTGTACATTCCTAGATTGAAACAGGATGAATATTTTAACTGTGTCAAGTACAGTAATGTTTTAACTCTGTTTGTGTGGATCAGAGACAACTAATTGTTCGATGTCAAGTTTAATACTCCCAGATCATCTGAAGGCTTATAAAGAGTGTTTCGGGATGTTTTGGTGTTTTTGTTATATTTGTGTGTGTATCAGTGGACAATTAAATTTATTTTAACTACCAAGTGATACATTTTAGAACATAACAGAGATTCAAAGAGGTTTTCTAAACTAGTTATGTGTATCGGGAGCACTGATAGCATCACTTTGCACCATTTTCAATCAGGCGTTTCTGGTTCATGTAATCAACTTAAACTGAGATCTGCAAAATCTGCTCATATTATAAAAGACCCTTTGCGATAGTGACGTCATCAATTCTTCATAGTGGAATTGCAGGAACCACAGTCTGATTGAAAATTGGAATGGTACAAATTGATGATATCATCGACCCTGATACACAGAATATTTAAGAAATACATCTTTACAATCCTTTCAATGAATCTAAGGGATGGGGTTTAATTTACAACTTTAGGATTGAGGTCTGTGAGTAAAGTAAGTAAGTCGTTGAACAGGCGGAATGAGTCGAGTTTTATGAATGATAATGTTAGTTGACTGGAGATCGTGATGATATAATACTGATATACCATGATAGACAAGATAAACAGACGGAATGAGTCGAGTTTTATGAATGATAATGTTAGTTGACTGGAGATCTTGATGATATAATACTGATATACCACGATAGACAAGATAAACAGGCGGAATGAGTCGAGTTTTATGAATGATAATGTTAGTTGACTGGAGATCTTGATGATATAATACTGATATACCATGATAGACAAGATAAACAGGCGGAATGAGTCGAGTTTTATGAATGATAATGTTAGTTGACTGGAGATCGTGATGATATAATACTGATATACCATGATAGACAAGATAAAAACAACAATCTAATCCACATTCTAACACTTCTAGTATCTTTTTAACACCATCATATAATACCCTACATACATGTTGTTATTTCTTTGTTACTGGGGGTATTTTACACATTCTAGGTTGTGATTTTTTACATGTACAATAAACCATAGGTTGCCATCGTTTTTACATCCTCTAAGATGGCTTATTACTAGTTAAAAATATAATCTAAAGCTGCATTTCATTTCATAAGCCGAATTAGATACAGTTCAGTAGGATATAAAACTCTATTTTACTTCACTTCACTTGATAAGCATTTCTTGCAATTATTTTTTACTTTTTCTGTACCTTGTTTATGGGTACGAACAATAGAATGCAGTGGGCAATGAGGCGAATTTATTCAAAATAATATATTGAAGTAAAGTATTGACAGAATAGTTGCTATAGAAACAAATTGTAAAATAGAACAATAAGACGCAGTGGGCAGTGAGGGAAATTTAGCTAAGATAGCATATTGAAAGAAAGTAGTTGTTTGAGAAACCGAATTTAATAAGATACCTGGCTAATGAATACGAGTAATGGACACAGTGGGCAATGAGGGAAATTTAGCTAAGATAACATATTGAAATGAAGTATTGCCAGAATAGTTGTTTTAGACACAGAATGTTACCATATGAATCGTCTGTAAACTCTAATATGAACTGTTTTACACCACCCCAGAGACAAATTGATACAAACTTTATTTTCTACGTGATATAAAAACATAGTTTAACATGGTATAACTTTGTATTAAACTGTCTTATATTGTACTCAATTACACTGTTTTTGGTTTTACTTTCTTCAATTATAATGAACCAATTTTCCAATTTTAATTAGTTCCTATTGCATTATGAGACCACATCTGTTTTTTGCCATCCAATCAGATCACTGTATTTATTAAAATCTGGGTTTTATTTAAGTTTTGGAAAATAAGGTCCCTGGTCTGAATCTTTCCCGGATTATCGGTACCCATTGCCAGCAGAGTCAACTGGAATAATGAAGAAAGATGACTTATTTAACGCCAGAAAAGGCCTCTGTCTGAATTCCATTAAAAGAGATATATCAAGTAAAACAACTATGTGCTACTCTGCACAGTTGGATACTTAATATAACAATGTATATATATATATATATATCCTCCTCCCTCCCACTATAATATATATGAGACTAATTACGGCAGGAATTGACCAATATCGGAGTATCAAGTAGGAAGGGAAACTAGCAATCGATGTTATAATATATAATAAAACTTTTAATACAATTCACAGCTAGATAACTTTTATTCTTACATTAGTTACTGTCTTAATTCTTAATAGGACCTAAAATTTCGTAACTCTTTGGACAATTCTGGAATTTCACACAGTCTAATGCTTCAGAAGGCGTAAAACTCCATTTATTTTTTACTGGGCTATACGTTATACATTCTTACAACAATTCGACTCTGGCATTTAATTTTCTTTTTACACTGTGAATAGCTATCTGGATTATATGTATCGTACTATCTAATATATCGGTTGAAAGATTTCATTGTTGAAAGTTTCTACTGTTTATGCCGTTTTAAATCGTGTATCGTAAAAATTATACTTAGATTTGGAATAATAACTACAGAATACTCCTCTTATTTATGAATGAAAAGTGTAAAGTGAAAGGTATTAGAGTTTTTTGGAATATATTATGAGACTAGGTTATATTTTGTGAATTTGTGAATATCGGAATAGTTTTGAATGAATATTAGAAACCCAAGGTAAGGAAAGTAAAAATTATTTAATTCTCACCAATCTGAAATACATACTCTTCATAAACTTCGTCTTTCTATCGTTAATTTATATATTGTTGTTAGAGGACTGGACTGAGAATCCACCATCCATTACTTGTCTGTTATCTCGTTTTGCCAAAGCCTCCATCCGCTGCCCAGGTAATCCCCACCCACCCCAAAAAAAAAAACAACCTCAACTTAGCCCCTGCAAACAATCAACTAATTAACTGCAGTGACGGAGCCAGGTTTACGTCAGAACGGGGCCAAATATTTTAGATTGCCCGAATTTCTAATGTAGATTTTTGCCCAAAAAACTTGCTTTCGGTGCTGCGAGGCTGCCCCCTCTGCCCCCTTCCTTTCTGGCACCGCCATTGTGCCTATGGATGTGAGGCAAATCCCCCCCCCCCCTCCCGAACTCACCCCATACAAGAACCTAAAGAAGATGTTATAATTACTGTATTATGTCCACACCCAACTCAAGTGTATATGACAAACCAACGGAAATATTT